TAATTTTTGAATATAAAATACAAGGAAGTTATTACTGATTTAAACCTAAAACAAAACAAAAACAAAAAAATAAACAAATAAAAATAAAAACATAGGGCGCACCACAATCAATGTGTACTGGCGGCAAACCTATGCAAATAAAAACTTGAAAATAAGTAGAGCTCTAATGCGAGCATAAACCTAAAAATAAGTAGAGCTCTAATGCGAGCATAAAACCTAAAAATAAGTAGAGCTCTAATGCGAGCATAAAACCTAAAAATAAGTAGAGCTCTAATGCGAGCATAAAACCTAAAAATAAGTAGAGCTCTAATGCGAGCATAAAACCTAAAAATAAGTAGAGCTCTAATGCGAGCATAAAACCTAAAAATAAGTAGAGCTCTAATGCGAGCATAAAACCTAAAAATAAGTAGAGCTCTAATGCGAGCATAAACCTAAAAATAAGTAGAGCTCTAATGCGAGCATAAAACTTAAAAATAAGTAGAGCTCTAATGCGAGCATAAAAATTTAAAAATAAGTAGAGCTCTAATGCGAGCATAAAAAACTTAAAATAAGTAAAGCTCTAATGCGAGCATAAAAACTTAAAAATAAATAAAGCTCTAATGCGAGCATAAAAACTTAAAAATAAATAAAGCTCTAATGCGAGCATAAAAACTTAAAAATAAGTAAAGCTCTAATGCGAGCATAAAAACTTAAAAATAAGTAAAGCTCTAATGCGAGCATAAAAACTTAAAAATAAATAAAGCTCTAATGCGAGCATAAAAACTTAAAAACAAATAAAGCTCTAATGCGAGCATAAAAACTTAAAAATAAATAAAAGCTCCTAAAGCGAGGCATAAAAACTTAAAAATAAGTAAAGCTCTAATGCGAGAGCATAAAAACTTAAAAATAAGTAAAGCTCTAATGTGAGCATAAAAACTTAAAAATAAGTAAAAGCTCTAAAAGCAGCATAAAAAACTTAAAATAAATAAATCTCTAAGCGAGCATAAAAACTTAAAATAAATAAAGCTCTAAAGCGAGCATAAAAACTTAAAAATAAATAAAGCTCTAATGTGAGCATAAAAACTTAAAAATAAATAAAGCTCTAATGCGAGCATAAAAACTTAAAAATAAATAAAGCTCTAATGTGAGCATAAAAACTTAAAATAAATAAAGCTCTAATGCGAGCATAAAAACTTAAAAATAAGTAAAGCTCTAATGCGAGGCATAAAAACTTAAAAAAAAAGTAAAGCTCTAATGCGAGCATAAAAACTTAAAAATAAGTAAAGCTCTAATGCGAGCATAAAAACTTAAAAATAAGTAAAGCTCTAATGCGAGCATAAAAACTTAAAATAAGTAAAGCTCTAATGCGAGCATCGAAACTTAAAAATAAATAATTTTTTTTTTTTTTTTTTATTTATCTTTTCAGAAGCAATAAAGGAGGGAAGTCGAGGACGACCGGAAAGTAGGATGGCCGAGTGTTATGATTTTTATGAGTACCTTGTTTATATAGTGTATTGTTATGATTAACAAATTATGGTTTATGTATTATGTCAGATTGTATTATTCATAATGCATGGTTTTTATGACAGAGGCGATAGAATGTTACGGGAGATAAGATTGGGAGTGAGGCGTCCGCAGCAGTCAGTCGGTACCGTGCGCTCGCACGATACATATGTTTGTGTCGTAATCCTAAATACTAAAATGTAATAAAGAAGTTATGAGGGAAATCCAGTGTTTTATTTGAAAATACAAGATCTATTGTTTACAGTATATAGACATTTTTTAGAATTTTGTAAATCGGCGATACCTAACCTTACATCATATTATGGCGATTTCGACTGGCTGCACTAAGCCGCACTCAATGCGAACTCGAACAGAATTACAATTTCGACTGGTAAAGGGGCGTCCACATCGGATGAGCGAGCAGGAGCGAGCAAGAATTCGGGTATGTTCTATGGGAACGCTATGGAAACTGGTGTGGACGGCTCTGCGAGCGAGCGAATGATTGCTTGCTCGCGCTCGACGCTGTTCCACGCAGGGTTGGCAAATATCATGATATTTATATAAATATCAAATATCGGATATATATCCGATGTATATCAAGTTTTGATATTTATTTTTGTTTTTATTTTTCATGTAAAACTGCTAGTATCAAGTAAAATCAAGGGCTCAAGCAAATATTTTATTTCAACTTAATTATTGTTGCTTTGCACATAATAGGAACAACATTAAAACAAAAATATATAAAAAATATACAGAAATTCTAAAAAGATAAACATAACTTCTAAAAAATAAACAGGAATTCTAAAAAATAAACAGAAATTCTAAAAAATATACAGAAATTCTAAAAAATAAACGAAAATTCTATAAAATAATTAGGAATTCTAAGAAATAAACGGAAATTCAAAAAAATAAACAGATATTCTAAAACTAACAACAAACAAATTTATATTTGATTTATTAATTTTATTAGTGGTAAATCATCGTCAGATTCTTCAGAGTCAGAATCAATTGATACTGTTTCTGGCAAAGTTTTTGGTACATTTGAATTGTCCCAGATCCAATCAATAATAGAGAACAAGGGCATACGGCAGAGTCGGCCTACAAACACGTAAACGTTTACGTACGCATGCGCATTTCTTATATTTGTTATTTTTTATACACGTAAAAGATTCTTTACGTCTACGTATACGTGCCAGCAGCGGCCGACTCGACCGTATGCCGTTGTTCTCTATTATCTTTTTTGTTTTTTTCTTTCTGATTGTTGAGTTTTATTTTTTTATAAATATCATGATATATATCAAGGTATAAATATCATGATATATATCATGCCAACCCTGGTTCCACGCGTATCGGTACATCAAAGAAAATTCGCGCTATTGCACGTTCGGTTTGGACGGGATTTTGTTTACCACGTTTGCGATCGAATATCAAAAATGGAATGGCCGAATGAAGTTGTTTTAGATGGGGGAGTACAAAAATCGCCAAGACCCGTATCTAAGGTTATAGCTAGCCTTTCTCTAGGTGAAATTGCTTTTCGGTAATTGGTATGACTTTTCATTATTTTTATGTCAATTAAATCTAATAAGGTATTAAAATCTGTAAGTGACATCCGACAAAAGTTCTTAAATTTTCCAGAATCTTCTGCTTCAACATCGTTTAGTAAATTGTTACCAACATGAGAAACTCGATTTTTAAAAAGAGTTATGTTCCACCATCTCCTCTGCAATCGTTTTCTCTTTTGACGTTTCAACAATTTATAAAATACAATGAAAGACGCACAAGCAACAATTTTTTCCGACATTATGAACATGAAGTGCCACACACCGATCAACGCCGAACATACAAATAATCGCTAGGTCTGGACTGAAGCTGATAATGTGCTCGAAAGCAGCAGAAATCACGAGCGAATTTGAATAAATGTTTACTCGCGCTCGTTACTGCTCGCTCATCTGGTCTGGACGCCCCTTATTAAGAGTAAAGCAAGAGCAATGTAAAATTGTGTTCGACTCACGTCGCACTGACTCGGTGCGGATTATTTTTTCGTTCGGCTGCATCAGAGCAGCTTCGTAAACTAGCACTCTGTGCAATAATTTTGGAACCGTCATACGTGGTCGGTTCTGTCCAGTTCGCTCCAGCACTGTGCAAGTGCAACTCTTTAACAGTTGCTCGCCCTGAGAGCATTCGAATAGAACTGGTGCAGCCCAATCGAAATCATCATTAGTGTTAATGTTATTCTTGTAACTGTTATTTTTAGAAAGCAGCGATATTTGAAAATAAAAGTTGTAAAATAAAAGATTAGGTTAGGTTAGGTTGTAGCTTTAAGTTAGTTTTAAGCTGTAATCTTATTAAATACCCTATGATCGAGAAAAAATGGAAACTAGTTGGCTTCGAAATGACGATCGATGACATTCATTAAGTAATACCAAAGATACTACAAAAACGAAAACTTTATTCTTTGGTAATACGCATAACAGCAACCTTCATCCGTTTTTCTTGGATCGTATGGTATCTTTGTCGAGTTAAGGTTGATTCTCACTATACCTTCCGTATCAGCTACCTTCCGTTTACATAAAATATTATATCATATAAATGAATAGGACAATGCAGACTATCCGTTTCGTTTCCCTTCCGTTCCATATCCTTTCCTTCCATACATTTTATTGGCGGACGGGACGGACTGAAGCCTATTGGAAACAGCGTTGTCAAGTTATTACATTTGTACCAGCTCAGTTAACATTGTGCTGACATTTATTCTTTGACCTCTTAATTAAATCTATTACAAGGCTATTACCTTTTTTAAAAGATGCAAATTTTTAAAATAAAACTTTCGTAATGATATAAATTGTACAATAAAAAGTATGGAACTGATACGGAACGGAAGCTTACGTATAGCGTCAATACAATAAAAAAATACGAAACGGATATGGAATGGAAACGGAAGGTATATATGAGAATCCACCTGAAATCTGGCAAGGAAGTAGAAATTATTTATAAAATAAAGGCGGGTTCTCACGACTCGTGTACTTGGCAAGTACTTTTTATTGGCTTACAGGGTCTGGCGGGAGTACGGCGGCGTAGTTCCTATAATAAATAACTTAGAAATTCTGTATAGATGCCCCCTGCACCTTGTATACCCTGTATACCAATTACAAATGTTTGTCAAGTACACGAGTCGTGAGAATGCGCCTTAGATGCTTTGAAATATGTACACATAAAGATAAATTAAAAAACAAGCATTCGGCTTTTAAGAAACTGAATTGATTCATAAACATTAAATTTTTAAAGGACAATAGAACTTGTAGTTTTTAATCTTTTAAATAAGATGATCTTGACTTACTTGACGTTATATTGTCATTTAACAACGCCAAAAAATTGCACAAGACAATAACTGGTGAAATTAATTTAACGAGTAAATTGCCGGGTCTAAAAACGCTGTTAGTTTGTATACCCGTTTCTATCTATTTTACTGAACAAAACGAATTAAAAGTTAGGAGAATAGGTACAATTAAAACTACAAATTGAAACTCATTTATTTAATCTGTAAATACACTAATTTAACATAATAAATATTTTAAAAATATTAAGTACAATCACATTTAATCTTGGAATACATTCTTGTAACAATTATCATATTATTAGTCATTGAAGTTGCTTGTTTACTTACACAACTAAAATCTATCCGACGAGAGGATACCTGACAGTGACAGCTGTTGTGTCGAACTCTCCCTGACTCGTTGGACAGTCTTTATTTTCATTTATCACCGAACCAAGGGTAGCAAAAATTAAACTAGCACCAATTAAAAATTGTTTTAAATATAATAAAATCTTTACTGAGAATTATTTTATAAATTTAATATATAAATATTTATCTGAGAACATAGAAAATAAAGAATTTCTTCAAATTTATATAGTAACGCTTCAACGTTTGGACTCTAAATCTGAATTTTAAATTTTATTAAAATTTACTATGCTGGGATATAAAAATTAATATGAATTAGTTCAACTCGATCACTTCATAATTTTGACCTAGTTGTCAAAATATTATGCCAAATGTTGACAACAGACTTCAATACCCCTTTAATGAATTCTAAATGACCAATTTAAGATATGTTTACAATACTACATAAATTTATTTGATTTACTAAAATACATTTTTACTTAAACTTAAAGAAGTTAAATGTATATAAGTGTTGGTAGTAAAACGCAAGCAACTCCATTAACACTTAAAAGGAGTGATATATTAAAGAGATGTTCGAGAAAATGCAGTTTGTAAAGCTTCTTAAATATTCTATTTGGTGTCAGAAGTATATTATATTAAAATAACTAATTAACCTTAGTTTCATCAGAGAATCTTGAGAGTATTTAAAAGTTAAAAATTGTTCACCTCTATTTGCAATCTTTTAAAGATTAAGAGATAGATTCTTTAAATAAATATAATAAATAATGTAATTTGTTCCTAACATGCACCTGCATCACGTCATATTTACCCCTAACATTCGACTTGAATATTCATAGACCACATACGATATACTTACTGCTGGCATAACCTTAATAAAATTCGGAGTTATACCCCTATAAAGACCAAAAATACCTTCTTTCTCCAGGATAGTCTTAAAAACACCCGTCATTGTAGCGGTTCCAGGGTCAATAGTTGGATGTAATACTGCAAAAAAAAAACATAATAAAATATTTGTTATTGTTATAGTAATTGTGTAGTAAATTACAAGTAAATTTTATACATAGTCTATCAAGCAAGGGACTAATTTTTCTAGACAAATGACGATTTTCAATGAAACTAACTATAATATAACTATTGTCACTTTTATATGTATAACAATAACAACTAGTGTCACTTTTATATATTCTTTAGCTGAACAGACTATACATAAAATGCATTTCACATAATATGTGAGCACCCAACTCCTAACTCCTTATACAGGGTGGCGCACCTCATTCGCCTCGGTTGATTATACGAAAACGGAAAGATGCAGAAACAAAATATTTTATGGGTATATGTGGGGAGATAATGTGCACAATTTAAAATTATTTTGAAATATACAGGGTGTTTCAGAACTAAGATCCATACCAAAGTTATATTTTTTCTTATGGAACACACACCCGGTATTTTATTTCATTTTTGGATTCTTGGGCCCAAAAAAAGGCATTTATTATGAGGGTTAAACATGTTTAAAATCTTTAGTTTTTGAGATATTTAAAGATATTTAAATTTGCATGCTACAATAGAATAGACTATTAACACCCTGTACATTACTTTTCAGAATTAATTCTTATGCTGAGTATAAAGGTAGAGAAATAAACTTTACTGAAAAATGGTATTGGTTCCTTAAATTTATAAAATAGAAAACAAATTTCTTGCAGTATAGGTATATAATAAAATTATATAAGGATTCTTGCCACTTAACTGCTTATATAGACATTTAATTCTACGCTGTGTTTGTCATAATGTGGATCAACGTGCTCTCACTACCCGTTTCGGAGCCCTACTCCATCATCAGGTGAGCTTGGGCAGATCCACAAAATGACAACTACAGCGCAGAGATAGCTAATTCCGACTTGTCGGAAAGTGTCGGTTAGATATTAAGTCCCGAACGGGAGTTAGCGGCCTGCGTGCAATGGTAGTACTTTCGTACCACCGGGGCGCAACTATCGGTAGTAAAAGGATGGTAAAAGGCTTTTTTCAGGCAAGCCAAATTATAAAATAGAAAACAAATTTCTTGCAGTATAGGTATATAATAAAATTATATAAGGATTCTTGCACTTAACTGCTTGTACCATAACTGCTGTAACTTATACCAAGTGAAGAAAATGAATTTGCCGTAATTGGCTCTTTTATAGAAAATCCATATATCTACAAGTTATCGTAAAATAATTCAAAGAACTTGTTCTAACTACTTATTCGTTTTTCTTATTTCTATCCTTATTCTTTTCTATTAGATTAATAAATACATATTTAATGAATATAATTTATTAAACTATTGTAGGTAAATTAAATAAAAGTATAAATTGGTATAAATTTAAATAAGTCCATAAACTAATTTCAATTTTGAAAATAGCTACTAACTGTCACTAGAAACTTGCCATGACAACACTAGCCATCTTGATTACAATTTTATTGAAAAATGGCTTTTTATTCAAAATCTGTGCCAGATAGGTATAGGAAACCCTAATATAGTTTGAATGAGCATTTAAATCTGCTTTGACTTATTTAAAAAAAATACATAGTGTTGCATTTGAAATAACGAAGTTTTTATGTAAAATAAATATTTAAAATGGACCAGCAATTTTTGATACCCCTGTATACATTTAAGGGAGGAATAGCATTTTTCTGTAAAGTTTATTTCTCTACCTTTAAACTCAGTCCAAGAATTAATTCTGAAAAGTAATGTACAGGGTGTTCATAAACTATTCTACTGTGGCATGCAAATTTAAATATCTTTAAATATCTCAAAAACCAAAGATTTTAAACATATTTAACCTTTATAATAAATACCTTTTTTTGGGCCCAAGAATCCAAAAATGAAATAAAATACTGGGTGTGTGTGTGTTCCATAAGAAAAAATACAACTTTGGTATTGATCTTAGTTCTGAAACACCCTGTACATTTCAAAATAATTTTAAATTGTCCACATTACTTCCCCACATATACCCATAAAATATTTTGTTCCTACATCTTTCCGTTTTCGTATAATCAACCGAGGCGAATGAGGTGCGCCACCCTGTATAATATTACAACCAGTAACTGTTAGAAATAGCGCATTTTAGATTATTTTAGATAATTTCATTTAAGGTTTTGTATAGTGTCGATAATAATCTTGGATCATATAACCTACGTATAACCTAACCTTCAACAATTGTATAGGCCTCCTCGGTCTATCCGTTTTATATTTTTATGTAGTATGGTTAACAACAAGGTTTACAAGAAAAGTTATGAATCAAGAGAGGCACTCGAAGAGGCGGAACAACAGAAGTTTAAATGTCGACCGCCGTTCTGTCAGAAAAGCTTGTAATTCAGTTTTAAAAAGATGCATTTTATGGACTCAAAACAATAACATTTAAAGATTTTTTAGGAACATTTCCTAAAATGACTTAAAGTGTATACAGGGTCCGGCAATATTGCGTCGGGCATCTGTAGCTCCTAGAATAAAAAACTTGAGAATTTTGTTTAAGTGCAAACCTAAAGTATGTACCAGGATGTATTTCAGGAAAATATTTTAACTTCTATAGGGTGGCTCAAAAAAGTGTGAGTGGACCTGGATGATTTTTTTTAAATGGGACACCCTGTATATTATTGCATTTTTGGTTGGATTCTTTCAGATCACTTTACAGAACCCTAAGATATGAATAAATAAATTTCGATAGTTTCAGAGATATTAAAAAATAAATCAAAAATATATATTTTTCAGTCCTTCTTAAAAAAAATATTAAAAATACAAGAACTATTCTGAAATCAAGACTATTTTAGGTATTTACTTTAGATGGTCTGTACTTACTTTGTTATAAATATGAAAATCACAAATCATACAGGATGTTCAAAATTCTACGCCAAACTTTCTAAAATATAAAATAATTTTTCTTGGTTTTTTAAATGGAGCACCCTGTATATTATTTTTTCAATAGATGGAGAATTAAAAAATGAACATTTTTTGTATTTAGAGTATTTCAAAAATTTTAACGGTTTCGCAGATATTTGCGGTTTTATATTTCATATGGCATTTTCCACAGTAAATTTTTATCAAAGCCACCCAATGATTTTTCTCTCGTATTTTACCATTGACAGCGCCATATGAAATTATACTGCGTGTATCTGCGAAACCGTTAAAAATTTTGAAATACTCTAAATACAAAAAATGTTAATTTTTTAACTTTCGATCTAATAAAAAAATAATATACAGGGTGTTCCATTGAAAAAAACAAAGAAAAAATATTTTATATTTTAGAAAGTTTGGCGTAGAATATTGAACATCCTGTATGATTTACGATTACCATATTTATAGCAAAGTAAGAACAGACCATCTAAAGTAAATGCCTAATGTACTTTTCATTTCAGAACAGTTCCTGTATTTTTAATATTTTTAAGAAGGGCTGAAAAATATATATTTTTGATTTATTTTTTAATATCTCTGAAACTATAGAAATATATTTATTCATATCTTAGGGTTATGTAAAGTGATCTGAAAGGAAGCCAAAAATGCAATAATATACAGGGTGTTCCATTTAAAAAAAATCATCCAGGTCAACTGACACTTTTTTGAGCTACCCTATAGAAGTTTACATATTTTCCTGAAATACATCCTGGTACATACTTTAGATTTGCACTTAAACAAAATTCTCAAGTTTTTATTCTAGGAGCTACAGATGCCTGACGCACTATTGCCGCACCCTGTATAGTGATATTAGTTTTTTAAGTTTTAATTTGTTTAATGTATATTGTAAAGAAACTGTTTAATAAAATTTTCTATCTTTTTATAAATCTATCTAAAATTATAAATCATAATGGAATGATAATACCATACCAACTAAGTGAAATTAGTCAAAAAAGATAGGAATTCGCTGGAAAGCTTTCAAAATTACGCTTTTTATGAAGTCATGGCCAACTATGATTTCCATTTAAAAAACATGTGTGTGTTATATGTCAAAAATGACACACTTTTGAAAAAAATCTTTTATCTCAAAGCTTTTTGTCTAAAATATATTATAATGGAATTGGGGAGCATTTTTAAAATTGCCGCAATTTGTTGTTTTTTTTCGAAATATCTAGTAAGCCATAAACTTTTTCAAAAATCCGAAAAGCGCATATTTTTGATCTCGCAAAACTGAAATTCTTTACCCGACTTTCTATCTCCAGTAGTTTCCGAGATATCCATAGAGAACATAGTAGAAAATGTTATGCCAGTGAAAACAAAATTGTGTGTAATAACTTATGGCATAGCTTTATCCACGAAATTTACACGATCTAAGATAATACTAGAATGATTGAAATAAAAGTAATAATTATGATTATTGTTAGTTCCCAGTAGTACGCAGAAAAAAAATTGTTTTCTTTCGAGCCTTCCCAAACACCCACGTTTTTTTTCTGCGAAAAGTAATAATGTCTTGAATATATGTGTATATGTGTATACATACCTTGGGCTTGTAATCTGGTGCGAACCAACGCTAACGGATAAGAGCACATTTGTCCTAGAGTGCTACTAGCGCTACCGCAAGCTAAAAGCATCCAAAAACTTGGCTGTTCGTCAGTTGAATGAGTCTTAAAGTATTTCTTCTTTAATGTTTCGTAAACCGCTAAATCGATTCCGGCATATGGAACAATGCCTAGAATATTTGGAATGTAACCTCGATAAAAACTCATTAGACCCTCTCTGACATAAATTTTGTACGCTGCGTCAGCAATACTTTTATACTGGCCAGTCTTCCGTAAAGCTAATCGGGTCTTTAAAACTTCTAAGGGGTAGATAGCTGTCTGGCTGATACTCCCAGCCATAGCCCCAGCACAAAACCTTTCGTATATCGTCAGACTATTTTTTGAGTCACCCTTTAATAAGCGCTTGATTTGTTCATAAGCGGCAAACTTTATCGCCGATTCTGGAGCGATTTTTAATACATTTATGCCATTTCCTCTCCAAAGTCCACTAATTCCACCTTCCTTAATCATGCATTGCATACAATCTGCAATCTTTTGCTTAGACGGCTGGACCTAAAAATAAATTTAAATTTTATTGAATTTTGAAATTTCAGTTAAAATTGATTATATGTACCATTATAAAGTACACTCAGTGTGTAATAATTTTGGGTGTCAATTTTCCTAAAATATAATTTTACGGTAAGAACCATGTCTTCTGAGCATTTTGCTTTTAGGATTACGTCAATGCATGCTTTGGTTATTTTTTAAAAGCGAAACGAACTGATCACGATCAATTTGCATTTTTTTCAGTTATCATTACTTTTGATGTACTTTTTTAAAAAGACGAAATGTGTTTTGGTGACTATTGTTGTAACGTCATATTACGCTGCATCGGATAATCTATACTAAATTAAAAAAAAACGTTAAAGACTAACGATACAGTCCTGGTTTTAATAAACATTAATAACGATAACAGGACTAACTGAAAAAAATTTGTAAAAAATACTCTAATACTTTGTATTGCTCCCCTGGCTGGTATAACTGCCTGTATACGTTTGTTCGTACTGTCATTGAGGCTGCATATATCATATTGCGTTATGTTTTCCCATTCTTCTTTAAGGACCAAGCGAAGTTCATTTAATGAAGTTGATAACGCTTCGCGACCTCTAACCCTCCTGCCAAGCATTTTCCAAACATCGAACATGATGGGCAGTTTATAGTAGTATATAGTTCACAATAATCACCAAAGCTGCCTTGTCATATAGAAAAAAAACTTCAAAAATGAATTATAATTGAAAAAATTGCAAATTGTTGGTGGCAAGTTCATTTCGCTCTTAAAAATTAACCAAGGCATGTATTGACATGATCCAAAAAATAAAATACTCAGGAGACATGGTTCTGACCCTAAAATTATATTTCAGGAAAATTTACACACGAAATTATTGCACAGGGTGTGTCAAAGTTAAGGTAAAAAGCAACCCCTCGATTAACCCTATAATAAAAAAAATATGCCAAATACTAAAGTTTAGAAAAAACTGAGTTTACAAATTAAAGTTGATATAATTATATACAGCCTGCTAAAAAAATCATGAAAATAGGGCTAAAAATAACAAAAATATAACAGTTTAAATTTGACCAAAATTTTCTCCGTTGCGTTTTTTTTTTGCATCTGAGTGTATATAATATCATTCCGTTACAATAAAAAATTAAAGAAACAAATCGAAGGATAATTATTTGTAATAATGAATTTTTTGCAAAGCATTTTTTTATTCTTTTAAAAGAGATAGAGACTAATTTTCTAGTATGTATAGTTTAGATACTCAGATCGATTCAGTCTTAAATGACTACTTAATTTTTACAGGGTGTTTCAAAACACATGTGTCATCTCTCGTGGGGAGATTCCCCGCGTAAAAATAAGATTTATTTCTTATATCCATATAGGTCCGATTCTGCTTTGTTATGTAGTTGCAGGAGGATAAGTCTTCATTTTTCGATTTATTATAATTTTCTTCGAAATGCTTTTAGCAATTCGAATGAAATTTTGGGGATAAAAGCGATTATAAGTGCTATACATTTTAATGCTAAAAAGTGTCGATAGATTCAGAGACGTGCATATGGGTCCCCACTGGAATATTTTTTTAAACAAAACTGTGTGCCACTGTGCAAGAAATATCTCGTTTCATATATTAGTATATGTATAATCGAAGGCCTTCTACCGGAAAGTGTAGGCTTCTAGTAGCTACTTTCCATAAATAAAATGTTGCCACTTCTTCTTGTCCAGGGCCATGCTTGCTGCTTCGGCGCAGCCGATCCCTCTAGTTTTAAGTAATTTTGCAACATTTTGATCCCAAGTAGTTGCAGGTCTACCCTTTTCCCTTTTTTCCTGCCTTTTTGCCTCCCATACTCTTCTTACTGGTCTCTCTTTGTTGAGTCTTTTCAAATGTCCGTACCACCTCAACTGGCAGTTTTCGATAGTTGTTAGTACTGGCTGGACTTTCAGCTGCTCTCTAATATGGGAATTGCGTAGTTTATTCATCCTCGTAACCCCTAGCACTTTTCGTAGGTATTTCATTTCTACTGCTTGTATTAAGCTTTCTTGTCTCATCCCAAAACTTCTTTTACGTCTTTTACTTCAGCTTTTTCATCTTCATTTGGGCCATACAGTATTAATATGTGTATCGTGTTCTTGTCTTCAAGCCTTAATTGTACCATAATGATTCTTTCTGATATAGTATCCCATTTAGTTACAAATTTAGCTAAGGTACTTTTTATAATACAACCAACTCCGGTCTGTGCCCTTTTCTCATTCTGGACCCCACTCAAAATCATTATATGTCCATTTTGTAATTCTACTGTTTGTTTTCCTTTCTTTTTAGTTTCAGTTATAGCTAGTATGTCTAGGTCAATGTTTTCAAATTCTTTAATTAGTTCGCCCTCTTTGTCATTTATCGACCGAATGTTCCATGTACCAAATGTTAGCCTTTTCCATTTAAGTTTCCTTTCAATGTCCGTTTAATGCCAAGTTCCATGTCCGATAATCCTGCTCCGTGTAATCCATTGGTTAGTTCTAGTTTTTTGAAGTTCGCGTAATCTTTCTCAGTTGTTCTCCAAATTTATCATTTTCCGGTGATCTCATATCGGGTTTTCTCTTCTTGTCGGCGTTATTATATTGGCTAGTTGACTCCCTATTTATTATGTTGCTTGCATCATATACCTTATCGTTTATAATTAGTTTGTTGTATCTAAGTTGTGCTTTTTCGCCCTTTTTCCATGCTTCTTTCATTTCGGACACCAGAATTTTTCTTTCTTCTTGTATTTCCTTTGGGTAATCCTCATCAATCCATATGTTAGATCCTCTTAATCCTTTAGTTTTTCCTAGTATTTCGAATTTCTTATTTGTAGTTGTGAGTTGTAGTAATATTGGTCTCGGTTTACCTGGGATTTGTTTGCCTATTCTTCTTACCTGGTCTACATCAAATTCTGGTTTAATAGGCACTCCCAAGGATTCACAAATTTTAATTGTCTTGTGTTTGGTTAGTTCGAAGTCCTCTTTTTCATCTTCCATAATACCTTTAAAAATCAGATTTTTCTTTCTAATCTCTCTTTCCAAATTGGCAATCTTCATTCCTTGCGCTTTAATTTCTGTCTTCAACGCCGCATTTTCTAGCTTAGTATCTCTCAGCTCCTTTATAACATCAGATAGTTTACCATCCATTACTTGCATATTTTCTCTAATAAAATCGAACATTTCTTTTATTTCGTTCATATCGGATTTTTTTTTGTTTTTGCTCCATATTATTTTCCTTTTAATTATAGGGATTGCGAAAAGAACAGACTCTCCTCAACGGATCGGAAGTCCCTTGCTCTTATCAATCCCCAAATATCCTGTTCTCAGCACAAGCTGGCAACAGCACAAAAAATTTTAACGAGAAACCGCTAAATACCTCAATTCTCTTATCAGTTAGATTTAGATTCCTGAAATTTCTTTATACGTTTATTTAATTCTAGATTTTTACCTCAGCATCGAATTGTAAACATTAATTTCACTATACAAATAAAAAGTTCAAATTATTTTTCATTACAACTCGCGATATACAGGAAAATTGCAGATCAAGAATAATTTACGATATTTCCCAAACAATGCCACGTTGCCCATATATTAGTAGGAAATTGAATTCTCTACAAAAAAGGTCTCTTACAATTTTTTTGTAAACCTCACCGTTTGAAAGTTATTAAAGGTTGAAGTTTGATTTTAAGGCAGATTTCTTTTTTTATTAATTCTATAACTCGTTAACAAAAAATCATTGTGATACACGCAGCTCATGGTTTTAGGAAATTAACTGCTCTACAAAAATGGTTTCTTATGATTAGTCGATTAAATTAACCGTTTAAAATATATTTATTGTCAAACTTTAATGCACAATAATTTTAACAGTTTCGATTTTTTTGACCCACCCTACTGTATATGCAAGATTTCATCGCGATATATGCAAGGGTTTGAAAACTAAAAGAACGGTCCCATTATTTACGCGAGCACTGAATACTCTACTTTATTAATCCTAACCTCTTTTATGCTTTTTCGATCAAGAGACCGACAGGTATAAATGTTTAACTCGTTATACAAGGTGAGTCTTAAATAAGTGCAAATATTTTAAATATTTTTAGGGGTAGCATATTTCTACCCCAGAAACACGATGAGGTTTATTCACGATTTTTTTTTTTAATTTGGAATTTACTCAATTTTTTTTTTAGTTTTTAGCTAAAAAATATAATTTCTTGATAATATGACAACTGGCAACATAGGTAGTAGATTAAATTTACAAAAAAATCGTTTTTTTTGGAAATTTTCAAAGTAAAATAGCTCGGATATTTTGGACTTATTTGAAAAACGGTAAAGAGAAAAATGTTTCTTTTATCGAGATCCCCGCCCTGAAAATATTTGCACTTATTTAAGACTCACCCTGTATAGTTGGCATCTAAATGTAATAAAAATTAATGAAATTATTCTATTTAAAAGATCTTTAAATAAACACAACGCCGCATCGGCATCCGTCCACCTCTAACTAATGACAATTATATTGGCTAATTTCCAAGATGAGAAGTTCTAAAAAACTGCATTAAGCCACATTTGAACTTTGCCCAGTTAAAATAGGTATTTATGGTACAAAATCTGTGATTATCATAATAATTTATTTTTATTTAACTTAAACATTTTATATATGTAATTTACTTATTAATAATACAAGTTTAAACTATATGTTCTGCTGTTATCATTAAATATTTTTAGTTTTTCAAATGACATCTCATAAATTCGTACATACTTCAACGAGACGAATAGAATTTTATAAAATTTATACAATACGATCAGCGTCAACGATAGCTATGAAATGAAGATCGCTGTCATTTTATATGCAAAATCAAATCTCATAAATTCGTACATACTTCAACAAGACGAATAGAATTTTATAAAATTTATACAATACGATCAGCGTCAACGACAGCTATGAAATGAAGATCGCTGTCATTTTATATGCAAAATTATATGGGGAATATCATCGATGTTCATTTTAGGC